CACACCCACACCCACCCACACCCTTATTGTTAGTTGATAAACGATATAATTGTTTTCATGATAGACAAAAAAAAGAGATGCTTTTAAGTAATATTTGCTTACTTTAATAGAGTTTGATTAAAGTTACAGCATATAAAAAACAGCAAATTTTTCAGACATGTAGAGAAATTTAATTACGTTTATTATAGTGCTATTTACCGTTCTCCTCTGTATTTCAACAATCGCGATATAATCTCAAATTTAACACATTCGAAGCGATGAGACTCATCGATGGGTCACCGTATAGGGTGGACCAAAAGTTCTTTTACTGCAGAAAAAATTGAATATCTCTGCCATATTTTGACCAAATGAGTTAATTCTTTTACCACTGACAAAGAAATGTTCACAGGAGAAACGTTGATAAAAGCTGTTTTCAGGTATATTACAATTGTCGTGAATGAAGAAATAGTACCTTTTATGAATTATGAGAAAACAATATTCACATCGCCGCAAATGTGTTCATCAACCTAATAAATAGCAATTTTGATGACGCCAGTAAATAAATGTTCTGTCTTAATTTGTACACTACTTCTGGGAATGTACAGTATTATCCTTCAGACAATTAGATCATAAAAAATCATAAAGAGGAAATTCGTTCAAAAAAAATGTCAACAAATACATCTTTTGAATAAAATAGAAATTCATATGAGGTTTCGACCAGCAATGATCTTTTTCACTTGATAAAAGAACGTTGATAGAAGTCATAAAAAATAGTTAATAGATAACTATCAAGATATAGTACAACAAGTAAAGTGTAATTTCGTTTTGTATCCCATCTCGGCAGAATATCTTAAGGAGTTAGTGATAGTTGTTTTCGATGAAATTATACTGTAAAACGCTTCTCATTCTAATCCTTCAAAGAAAAGTGTTATCTGCATTGATGTATGTTTAAAATATGTAGTAGTTCATTGCCTTGGTAAAAAAAATGGACTTCAAAGTTGCTTACTTCCTCTTTGACGCATCAAGATCAAGGTTAATCAATGAATAAGATTCTAGTTGAAAAAATTGCGACGCTCACCTTATAAAAGGGTTGGAAAAAACCCAGTCATGATTTAAGTATAGAATACGGCAATATACATAACACGTGAAATTATTAATTAACGATGTTAATAAAAATAACCTTCAATTATTCTTTATACATGCATCTACAAGAAGAGAAAAAAAAAGGTAATTCGAGGAGTAAACATCACTTTCTAATTATACAAACATCATGTAAACAGCAATTAATTACATACTGTATTTTGCCTACGCAATACTTACAATATAATATAGGTAATGTTTTGAAAGGATACGACGAAAAAAAATTGATAACATTTTTATCAATCAATGAACAGTTAATCGATCAATGTATAGGTATTATTTCGACTTTTTCTTTGTGGCTAGTATACAGAATTATAGTTTATAATGGAACTTACATGCTTTTACAATTGATAATAGGAATATGTATCAACATTTTAGTTTTAACTGATCAATAAGTTTTGTCTAAATACTGTGAAAATATATAATTTGATCGGGCGAGTGTTTCGAAATCATATACAGATTGTTATTAATTACATCACTGTCAGCTCCTGACAACCTACTAAAGTCTTGAGTGATATATCAGGATAATAGAAATAGAGTCCTGCCGGGTGGGATAAAGGTAGTACAATATATGTTTATAAAAACTAGAGTGCTGTTCATATTACTCAGATATTTTGGACAAGTAACTTCAAAGACACTTTTGACGTTTGTTTGATTTAAAAGAGTAAACAGAAGCTCATTGCAATATGAATTGATTGGATAGAGAAAGAACGAACGAGAGAATAATAGTACATCATTTATCACTTTTGAAGTTTTATTTAATATAAACGGACAGATTAACTGACTAGTAATTTTTCGATCGAAAAGAACTCAATAGATGCGGTGATTGTCCCTAATATCAATACCAAAAAAGTAACACATCTCGATTGATTCGATTCGCAAGTATTTTACACTTGATTGATAGTATTCTTGTATTTACAAAATCCGTAGAGTGTCCTCTTTCAAATGGTGTAACATCCATCTTCCACTGAAATGTAGTGGCGAAGAAATCAACTGTCTACGTAAATCATCCGCTTCTGTTGTTATTAGGAGCCATTTCCATAATAACAACACTCTAATCAAATTATTAGAAAAAGACACTGTTTGTAAAAAAGTTTTTATCACGGTTTTTGTTCAGAAAACAAGGAAAGGTTTCACTGGCATTTTTGTTCAGCGTGTTGAGCTCTATCTAAATTCAAAAGTTCATGAGAAACAAATTTTGCTCTATTTTTGACTCTAAGAACAACACACTTGGTTTTTGTCTCCAATAGCGACTCATCATTCCAAATATGGTGTAAGCTTACATCACATTCGTAATGATGGGTCACTATTGGAGTGAAAAACTAGATGTGCTATTATTAAGGTCAAAAATAGAGCAAAATTTGTTTCTCATGAACATTTGGATTTAGATGTTCGACACATATTTACAAGATACTGTGTTCGAACCTCAACATCATCAGACATAGAATGACCTTGGACAAGTCACTAACCACTGCTTGTCTCGGACCATCCATCCAATAACACACTGATTACGTAGTTGACATAAAAAAACAATAGTTGTAAGAAAATATCGGGCTTTCGAAACTGTCTTCAGACAGCGTCACATACCACACGGTAGTCAAAAGACACGGTATTCTTCTTCTTAAGAATACAAAAATCAAATAATATGCATATGTGCAAGCTCCTTCTTCAATGCATCATGCTCCAACAGATCCTATCGTGTGAATCGAAACATGGAACATACTCTCTTGGTTACCATGTTCGAAATTGTTTGAAGAAAACAGTAATTTGAAAAACGATAATGTCGATTCGAAAACTTATGAAAAAAGATATAATCGTATCTTTTAAAAATAAAGAAAGGATTAGAATAGTTTGTTCTAAATTCTGTGTATTTGATTATTATTGAAAACCAATCAAATATGCTGAAACACAGTGAAAAACATTTCATTTTAATATTCACTAAAATATGGCAATCTAAGGGCAAAATAGGATATAGAATACAAAATTCATACGGTAGGGTAGGATTACAGAAGGAAAAAACCTTACTCTGGAGAACTCTAAATAGAAACTTATTGAATTTATTATTTGTGCTCTTTTTTGTATCAAAAATATCTTCGAAAATTCTTCACTTGGAATCAAACAAACGAGATTTATTGTGATGATACTTCTTTTAGAGAAAAAAATGTACCCTAAAAAGTATATTCGTCATCTATTTCGAAAAATTGATTTACGAATAATGCCATTCATATGTCTTCTCGAATTCAGCTCGTATATCAATCGAGTCTGCATGGGTAAGTTTCATAATAATTAAGATTGCCCATTATTTCATACTCGTTCTTCTATAGGATATGTCAAACATACTGGTTTGAATGACGATTTAGGTGTATCTGTGGCAGAAGACAATTGGGCTGTTTCTCTTGTGTATCTCGGTTATGTAAGCCATACAAGTTCTGCTTTTGACATTATCTTTCATCATGTCATTGCTAGCTTATTTTTGCCATTCCTTCAACACTTCTACTTCGTTATGTCGATACTAATATCTATTTTTCTGTTATCATGTTGGCATGGGGATTGATCAATGTCGGTATGGGATTTATCAAGACCGTTCCACAACTACTTGTTTTGCGCTTTTTGCTTGTAATTGTTATTATTTATGTTAAATCTCTAAATTCTCTATTGAAAACTTCTATAGGGAATGACTATTGCAGGTTTCTTTCCGGGCATGATAACATACTTATCACAATGTTATCCCGTAAAACAGCGAACTATACGAATTGTCATTTTCTATGCAGCCGGTATTATATCAGGAGCTATTAGTGGTATTTTAGTAAGTATGATAAATGATCGATTTCGTTGAGATGTTTTTTTTCAAAAAGTTAGAAATTGACAGAGTTACAAGCAACGTTTGAGCTTTCTCATTATTTTACAGAAAGATTGTGATGTTTTAAAATTTGCACTAACTAGATTCGAAGCTTTTTAAAAAGTACAGTCTACAACATGCTATTTATTCTTCATCATTTTCATAATATTGTACGCAACGAAGAATTTCTTTCTACTGTGCTTGGTTTCCTCTGTCTAGATTTTCAGCATCGATAAAATGAATGGTATCGGTGGTCTACACAGCTGGCAATGGCTCTTTCTATTCATGGGAATTCCATTTATTCTCCTTGGAATAGCTACTTTTTTCTTGACAAGATCTCTAATACTCTTCAATGTAGGCTACTCGCTAATCAATTTTTGTCAATCTTACTCGTCTAATTTTCTAAACAGTTTTAGATCCTACAGAAAAAGAAATTCTAACCAACGTTCTGCGTAATGATAGAGCGGCAGACGCTAATGAGCTCTCAGAAGAGAATGGTGTGCAGTGGCGAGAAGTATGTCATGTTTTTATCGATTGGAACATATGGCTCTTCGCAGTGATAGGTGTGGGGCTTATGGGCACCACAAAATATTGGCTAACATACTTTCCAAGTCTTATTAAAAAGCTTGGATACACAAATACACAAGGACCACTGATGTCGATTCCACCATATGTGTCTGCATGTGTCTTTGCCGTAGCAGGTAGTTTTTCCGTAACAAGATTTAATGAACATGGATATCACGTAGCATTTTTTATCATTATTGCTGGAGTTAGTTTTGCTCTCATGGCAATTTTCGATAGAGTTAGTTCAGTTGCAGTGTATATAAGTGGATGTTGTGCATGTACTGGAAAATATTCAGCATATGCTTTACTTATAGCATGGTTAGCTAAAAATCTAAGTGGTCGCATAAGAAGATCATTAGCCGTTGCATTCGTCGTTGGACTTGGTCAAATCGGTGGAGCAATTTTACCATTCATTATGCATGATAAAAATGAACCGAATTTTCGTCAAATTCATACTACATATGCCATTGTAATGGCAGTCATTATGTTTCCTACTTTACTTCTTCGATTTGTTTCAACTAATCGAGCAAACTCAGCGGCAATTAATCATATTGAAGTACTCGAACAACCTAATAGTGTACATGACGCATAAATATTGACTATAAGATGAGTTTTGAATTAATGGAAATTGGTGACGATAAATATACTGTATGACATTATTTTAACAAGATTATTAAAAGTTTTCCTAAATCTAATAAAATAGTTCTCGTATTTTTCTTCTACGCGATATCAACCTTCTACTGTATTATATTTAAAACCAATTGTCAAAAAAAAACACGGTGATTAAAGGTGTGGGGGTGGGTGTGATTGTGAGTGCAGATACTCTCTGAAAAAGAGTTGACCGAGTGAACCTTTTATGTTTCTAGATTTGAGTACTATTTTAACAACCTTTTCTATAGTTCCAGCCAAAAAATTTAGAACTTAAAAAAGTTCTAGCCAACAAATCTAGAACCCTAAAAGGTTCAGTCTGTCAACTTTTTTTTTTTAGAGAGTACTCACACCAACACTCGCACCCCCAAGTGAACCATCCGCATCGACCTCCTCAAAAATTAGTAACTTTTTAAAGAATTCTTTGTTTCTCTTATATTTTCACTAAAAGTCAACCAAATAATAAAAGCTACGTATATGGCATTCCCTACGATCGAATTTGCTCTACGAAACTATTATATAAAAGATGGTTAAAAGCTGATCATTTAGCAAAGAAAAAAACCCAGTAAAATTTTATGCATTCTGATCAAATAACCATTGTCAAGAATCGGTCCGACAAAACAAATAACAGATGCTTAAAGCCTAAAAAAACTACATCTATTGTAATACTAAATCGATTTGAATACTATCGAAGCGATTTTTGTTGTCAAATATAAGACCAATACAGATTTTCATGCGCATTTTTACGTATGTAGTTGGACAACTCTGTTAAAAATAACTATTATATCCTTTTTAGAGACATTTTTTTTTATCATTATACTCATAGAAATTTTATGATCTTCACAATCCAGTTTTGCTTTTAGTTAACTTTCTAGTCGAAATATCAGTAATATTCGCTTCATCAGATATTTGATACTTTGCCCCACATAATATAAAGTACCTTAATATTCTTTATATTCGAATTTTAGTTACATTTATCACTTCATAAACTTGACTCCTTCATCCAAATAATATAGATAATTTTTTTTTCATGATGTTCCAAGTCGAAGTGATCAATTTTCAGAATAAGAGAGGTACTGAATCAAAACGTAAAGCATACTTGAATACAATATGATGAATCTGGAATAAACTATTCAGGATAGGTCACAAGTGAATCTATAATAAGAAATTCAAATATATTCACGGGCTGCGCGAGCCAACGACCTCAAATAATTGCCGATCCTAAAGGTTTATTTAAATCTCAAAGAACAGCTAACAAATATCGTTATTACGATCGGCAACATGCAGAACCCGACGCACTATTTCTCGGATCCAAAACATTTTCTCTGTATGGTACATAAGTATTACTACGATTGCTTTTAATATTTAACATGATAGCATCACAGCACAGTCTCCACTATACTTATAATGGTGCATATGAATGAAGACTACAAAGTAAATTCTTTTGAATTCTTGAGCTGATGTTCATGGTGTGGGTGTGGGTGTGGGTGTGGGTGTGGGTGTGGGT